AATTTATAAATAAAATGTGGGCCGCGGAAAGGAACTAACAATAAGCATGGTCGTTGGAGGACGTGAGAAATCGCCACCATCTCGCTGAAAATTGCCATAGCATTAAATTATGACTCTTGTAGTACAGATGAGTGAAATGATGTGATGAAATGAATGAAAACCTCATCACTGAGAGCGCCGTTGTCGCCCGAAGTGGACATGGTATTGAAGTTGTAACAGCCTGGCGTCGGAGATAGTGTCCGATCGTTGGGCTGCGGGACGCCACAGCTCGCTGCCGCAATTCTGAATTTTAGTGCTACAGTCTTGAAATCTCCAGTTCTTTACATCACATTATTATTTTTTAAAACTAACACAAAGTAAAGGTATACTCCATTCCCCCTTCCCCTTTCTCCATTTTGTACGGAGGTTAGAGAAGAACTATATATAAACCCTTGGTCAAGTGCTTTGTGAAGGGTAAGGCTAAAGCATGAAGGGCATTCGTCCTGTAGCAACTCCACGAAGACTACTCCGAAGGTTACCATCCCAGCACAAAAAATCAGCGCTTCTTCCTATGTGGAATGTTTTAAATGATTGTTCTGCTTGGTGGCATAGCAAGACTTTTCCAAAAAAAAAAAAAGAAATCGACCCTAAAAAGTTTTTGCAAGGCTTCCGACGATTTTCATGCGTTTCTGGATCTTAAGCAAATGCCAAGAGGCTATCTGCCCGCATAATGCCAAGAGGGTATATGCCCGTGCGCATGTGTGTTCGGAGGAGAATGAACTTTGTTACCCGCTTTCAACTTGGTGACCGAAATAATCCTTCCCTCTCAACTTCGTATTCATTGTCCAATTTGCATTTTTAGCGAATGATCGGTCGGTAAACATACTTGCTGGAGGTTAAGATTTCACGCGGACCCATGATGCAATCTCCTAGTCGAAGGTTGTCTTTCTTCTCCTCCCCTCCCTACCTCGCCTTTCATCCTCCTGCAGCTCCATGTAAGAAAAGACCGAAACTACATTTTCTCGAATTCGTTTGGGTGAGTAATTGTTTTATTGGCCGAAAAAACCAGGTGTAAGCGAAGAGTATGGCTTCCCCACTCAAAAAATACGTCTTTTTTACCGTGATTACTTTTTATTTAGCAGAAAGAAGCGAAAAATA